TTTTTTTATATATATATATATATATATATATATATATATATATATACACACGCTGGGCCAATTAAATCAGAACAAGTTACAATATAAAGAGAAAGAAAGATAGTTAACAAAAAAAGTCAGTGTAATAAAAAAAAAAACAAACAAAACAAAACAAACAAAAAACAAAACAAGACAAAAAAAAAATAAAAATAAATCCATGGTAGTCGATTTTCACGAATACTTAGTAATGTGGTCGTGGGTGGTTGAGACGGCTGGTTGGTCTCCCTCTCAACGACACTCCATATGTAGTAATCCCGAAAACTTGAAGGTTACACTTTGAGTTGTTGACATAATGATGAAATTCTCTTATCGGTCACGTGGGCCATTTAAGAGGAAGTCTTGCCGGAATACGTTCGGCTTTCCCTGTGTCACCCAATCGATTCAGGACTTGATCACCATGCCTTAGGATTAATGCTAACGCTGGGGCATTGTAGGAAGAAGTATGACATGTTCATCATTTTGCTTACGACTCCCAGGATCATCATAGCTGATGCGAACTGCGATGTGTGTATGATCATAGATAATGTCGTGGGGCGGGGAGGGGGTTCTCCTTGAGCCACCTCTAATCATTTTATTCCTCATCCGGTCTTGGTCGAAGTTCTTATCGGAGAATAACCAGAGTATGTGAAGCACCTCGGTGTACTTTGAGATATTGACGGACGCTAGCATCATTACTTACGAATTGTACGCGTGTATCACGTATGGCACACAACTGACTTAACATCGCTCGGAAGCTATGGGTAAATAGCAGGACGTACCGAGTTCTATAGCCTTGGATGGCAACTGGTCTACCGCAGAAAGAAATGACAATCTTCATGTCAGTCATATATCGAAATATACATGATCGCCTACGCGTGTATCACGCATGGCACATAACTGATCTAGCCATTAAAAAAAACAAAAACGAAAAGCAGTTCTACCCCCCCCCAAAAAAAAAAAACTTTGAGCGTTGGTTTAAAAGAAAATAACTGAGACATTCGGAAGAGGCATGGCACGTAGACGAAATAAAGGATTCGGTTCGAAATACCAATCACCTGAAGAAGGTCGGAGCGTACATCTGCTGAAAGATTGTGAATATGAATATAACAGTCCGAATAATGGAAATAATGCAAGTAATCATAATACCTCATCTCAGATATAGCGAGGCTGAAACGTTGTGAATATAGCAATGAAGATGAGGATAACAGACCGAATAATGGAAATAATTCAAGTAATCATAATGCCTCACCTCAGAGATATAGAGGCCGAAACGTTATGAATAGGGCAATGAAGATGAGGATAACAGTCCGAATAATGTAAATAATGCAATTAATCATAATACCACATCTCAGAGATATAGAGGCCGAAACGTCGTAAATATAGCAATGAAGATGAAGATAACAAACCGAATAATGTAAATAATGTAAGTAATCATAATACCTCATCTCAGAGGTATAGACAGATATTTAAAAAAAATACAAATGCCTGCGATGAAAAATTTTGTCTGTTAAATTTTAAAACTTCTCCAAAGGCACCATACAGTTAATAGTGTTTTGTAAAATTCTGATATAGAGTTGTGTTTTATTCTGCCATAATATCATGTTTAATGATATTCTGGAGTTGCTGTCCGAACTCTGCCGTCCTTACGACGTTTAAGAGCTTAGAATATTTCTCTTGTTTACGGATGGCATGTCCACCACCAAAGGGCTCTGCAGATCGTTTCTGATCTTGAACCTGAAGGAACTGGTCATTTTTATGAAGTTCACTATTTCAAACACGCTCTTTGTGCCTTAACACCGGCATTTTTTTTTATTTTCATGCATAAGAATCGAAACAATCTCTGAAAGAGGAATGAGCATGCCGCATAACATTACGTTAGGTCATTTTTCATTTACGGACCAATAAAGGAGTGTTTGAGAAAACGATATATACATTTTTATATTTCAAGAATAATTTTAGGGATTTTTTATTCATCCCACTTTCTCATAAATTTTCCACCTAAAGGTGTGTTTCTAAATGTGTTCTTAAACGCCTGGATACAACCACTGCTGAAAAATTTTAGACTCTACCAAGAAACCTCTTTCTCTAAGTTGAAAAATTAGGCCAGATTTTGTGAAATGGGATGAACTGAAAACTTTATAGCACCCCCTTGTATATAGGGTGGGGAGTAATCTGGCTGTATGGTTACCGATATATTGTCGCAGACTAATATTACTCTCGTGAAATAGTAAGAACAAAGTAAGCTAGTTAAATATCAGTGAGTTATGGATAACAAGCTAATAATGTCGATCATTACATTTGTATAGAGATTTCGATCTTCAGTAGTAATCCCATGATTGTAAGCTTTTATAGGTGTGAGTGTATGTCGATACATGTTTCTCTCTACATCATCACAAACATTATTTCTATTTTTATCCCAGTTAAGCATATAAGACCACCTTGTGTCGTTAAATGACTTTTGACATCGTAAAAGCCAGCATATCATCCGAATGAAGAACAACATTAAGAATTTAATGTTCCCAGTTGATGACTTTTGATATTTTCCATTTTATTGGAATGAAATGGAACAAATCTTCAAGAAGAAGGCCAAAATTTGCGAACGCGTTTCCGTGCGACAATTTCATTTTCGTATGAAACTGAATTGTGAACAACACCTAACGATGTGTCCATTGAATTTGCTTCTTGATTCAACGAGTGAAATGCGTGTGTGTATTCATGAGTATGCGTGTGTAAGAGAAAGTGGATGACTTTTTTTTTGTGTGTGAGACAGAGATAATATGTGGTTCATCGGACATACGTATGCATGTGTTTCTGTGTGTAACATAGATAGATAGATAGAGAGATAGAAAGTGTAAGTGTATGGGGGACAGAGAGAGAGGGGGTGTAAGAGAGAGAGAGTTTGTGGAGGTGAGTGAGTATAAAAGCTGAACAAGTAACGACAAATAATTTTGTGTCTTAATTACCCTTCTTATTCTTATGAGCTTTTTTCATTTTCTCTCTTTCTCTTTCAACCACGGCTTATTTTATGACTTTGACCTTTTAGATAATTTTTGTTTAAGGATAAAAAATTGTTTACTCCGAATTTTTGGTGATCAACAACTCGGCCAGGTTTCGTTGGTAAAACAACGAAAGTCGTGCAAATACTTTGAACACCTGGAAGATATGCAATGTTCTCTCGCCCTCGCCTTAAATACGCTGATTTCAGTCTCCAGCCGATTTACCATTTGCAAGTCGATTGTCACATGAGTTAAAGAAGTTGCGGTTGGAAGACAGAAACGTCCAAATATTCAAATATAAATAAATACTTAATTTTTGGCATGGGAAATAGTTGCGATTAAAACAGAAGATAAAAAAATAAAGATGGTATTCGATCATTGTCGCCCTTAGGAAATAACTTTCCTGCTTGTAGCCATGTTACATTTCAAATTTGTCACTTCATTAATACCAGCAGACAAATCTCTTTTAACGGCAAATTCATCTAGACTTGTTCTAATATTTGTTTTAGAAATACAAATTGAATTGAGTTATTCCTTAATTTTTTTGTCGAATTTATCTAGAAATAAAATGTTATTAAATAAAATAATTTAATTGAATGTTTGACGTATATTTCATGTCAAAAACTTCAGTAGTTAAATTAAAAAAATATTTTGTGTCATATATGGAATTTACGTGAACATCAAATAAGTACGGTGATTCCATAATTTTTGTCATGAGTTGTTCTTGTGTTTGCTACAATCTTTTTAGTTTCATAAGAGATTATCTGGCCTGGTGATTCTACACTACATATCGAGATTCTTGACAAAATCCAAAGAAAGATCTGTAATGTAATCAATCAAGACCAGGCATCTTGATTTCAGTCACTTTCTCACTGACATGGAGTGTTTTCCCTCTGTCTTTTCTACAAATATTTTCATAGCAATTGTTTTAATGAGTTTTCCTTCTTTGGACCTTGACTGCATGAATTTAAGCGTTCTGCTAGATTGTAGTCTATAAGTTTCATCATTTTACTATCGAAATAGCTAAGCTGCAATCGTCTGTTCTACTCTAATTGTTTCTTTTCTCACACTTCTCACCTGTGTGACTCCTTTCCTATTTCTTGCTTCCCTGATAACTACATTCTTCAGAAAATTAAATGCAAGGTCAATCGCCATTTTGTGTTTTCCTGAATATATGTATATAGTTTTTTTCTTCTCATTCTTTTTCATTGGCAGTAACCCCATGCTTCCTGGTGACATCATTGCCTTGCTTGCAACGAAATGATTAAGAAAAATTCATTTTACAATTCGTTCTTTTTTTTTTAAAAACTCGTTTTCATAAAACTGCGTCGCTTCCAGTCGTTTAGTCCCGCTAATTAAAATTTTCAGAATTTATTAAATGAATTGTTATTATTATTATTATTATTATTAATTGTTAAAAAATAAAACAAAAATAAGATTAAAACAAGGCTAATGAAAAGAGATAAAAAGCCATGATAATAATTTCAATAAACGTTGAAATATTTAAAGTTAATTATATAATCAACTATTTTTTTAATAGTGAAGTAGCGATGAGTTACAATTTACGACAGTATCAGCCACTCACGGTGCATGGAAAAAGTCAGCTGGTGATGTGACTCTGTACCCGATTAAGTAGCGAATAATGTTTTTATAATTTTATCTTACAACATAAAATAAATACCCAATGGACATAAGATGTGTGTGTGTGTGTGTGCGTGCGCGCACGCGCGTGTGGAGAGTGTGTTAACTGGCAAATTGTTATTTAAAATATTATTATCAGATATTTTCCGTTTTTCACATAAGGCTTGGACTTACTAAGAGCAAATCATTTGCCAGATTATCACGTCGTCTATGGTTTGTCGAAAGAGGAACTCAGTTGAAATGTTATTGATGAAATAATTCCGCAACCACCGGACATTTTCATCTGCCACAAGAATATACAGGCTAAATTTCTCTTGTCGATTCCTAAGCAAAAGTTTCACTGAGATGAAGGTGACTGCTAAACACCTGATACTATCTCCCACCTTCCATCAGTGGGAGGAGACGAAGCACTGGTCAACTCAACAGCGACTGGCGGTAGAAAGTATGTCACAGAAAGAAAGAAAGAAAGAAAGAAAGAAAAAAAGAAAGAAAGAAAGAAGATACTTAATGATGAACAACAATCAAAAGGTCGATTGAATTATAATCACATGGTCATACGATCATTGTATCAAAACTCAGGATAAATAGACAATTTCATTTCATGTACTTGAACCTTGACTGATATAGAATATCTGTTTTCACTATCTATCTATCTATCTATCTATCTATCTATCTATCTAATTCTGTCTATCTATCTATCTATCTATCTATCTATCTATCTATCTATCTATCTATCTATCTATCTATCTATCTTGTCACAACCTAATGATGAGAACTAATCCGATATTTCGAACAGCGTAAACGAAAAATTAAATATAAACATAAATAAAACATTGATTCATTTTCTATACATTAATAAATTATTTTCTCTTTTAATTAAAACTTCATTTTTTTAAAGTCGAAATTATGATCGGACTTATGATAAACAACAAATGCGTTGAGTGTAGATACCCCCCCACCCTCAAAAAAAAAAATTCGCCAAAGGAGGACACGCGATATGCGCAAAACAATAAAAACAAAGTTTTATCATCAAAACATTTGTGTCATTTGTTATGAAGAAAGATTAAAGGATTTTTTTATGATGTAATTTTTAAAAATTCTTTTTTATATAAAAATCTTATTTGTTTGTTGTTGATACGGTGTCATAAATTTGTTGATACGGTGTCATAAATTTGTACTGGAAATTTGGGCGTCTTTTTGCCATGAAAAGAACACATTGTTTTGCAACTTCTTGCAAAAATCAAATAATTGTCGGATTTTAATGAAAATTATCGGACTTATTCACAAATGAATGAAATTATTTTTAAAATGCTCATTGTTTTAAGAAACTATTTGTAAAAATACATATATTTTTAAAACAGTTACATATCACTCATTTAATTTTCTGAAATTTCGTGAAATTCTTTTTTGTAATGCTTTTATTTATTAGAACAAATCCTCCGAGAATTTAAATCATGAACTTTTTTGCCAAACAAGGACCCTCAGTTACAAGAAATCTATTCTGAATCATAAAAAAAAATGTAACAAAGCGAAGTGATTATTTAATTAGAAAAAATCTTTTAATTACTTTTATGAATAAAATATATTATAGACAATATTGTCTTAAGAAAAAAAGATTTTCGATGAATAATGCAGTTTTACAAGATTTTATTTTCATTTTTAAAACATTTTAATTAGAATAATTTATAAAATTTTAAATCTTTTAAAATTCTGTAGCAATTTGTAAAGGTCAAGTGATATTGTTATTAAAATAAAAGTGTATTTACTAATTATAAATGGGAAAGGCTCACTACAATTCATCGGCCCCTACTATTTTAAAAAGAACTTTAAATTTATTTTACATGTATACAAATGTGTTGATTTTTTAAATACGGATGTCCATACACGACATTATCGCAAAATAAGAGCGTTAACTATAGTAAATTTTAAAATCTATTTGTAATTTTCTAACATTACCTCAACAAACGTCTTCGTAAATAAGGCTATAAAAGTACCTAGAATTCAATAAAGATATTAGTGTGGAAAATAAAAGTTATCTGCGATGAACTCTCCTTGTTGGTTGCTCGTGAGATTTGACTAAATCTTCTTGTTTGTTCTCACCTGTTGTGCTTTGGGCTTAAAAGGGATTTTGTTCATAGACGATTCGGCTAAAATATTGTTAACCACTGAAACATCCGTTCTGCTTCGTCGCGTCTTTTTCCCACGTTTTGAAAATACAACTAGACCTGCTGCATCTCTATCGAAAATTAGCAGAATTTTCGACAATCCCTTAGAATATTTTCTTAAATTTTTACGATTACTGGGTAATTACAAAAAATAATATAAATATAAAAAGGAGTTTACGTTGTATTCTTCAAGTAATTTTTACAGTTATGTAACCATTATTTAAATTTCCCAAACATCGGGCTATCGATAGATAATATAAAAAAGCCCCACTTTTTCAGTAGCGGACAAGGTCGAAAAATATTGTATGACAGATTATAAGATGGGGAGGGCCTCAACTACAACTAATTTGCTTTCATTTTTATAAGCAATAAATGAAATTTTCAAAAGATACTTTTGAAAAAAAAAAAGTACAAATTTTTTATTGTAAAATGTGTATTAGTAATTACAATGTACATCTAATTGGCAGTAAATACCAAATGTAAATTTAAGTAATTGGTTGATATTTTTAAATAGTTTACTGCATAATTCAGGCATTAGTAGATAGTTCAAAAGTTCTATCCATTATATTAAGAACAATCGTTTTTATTCACTGGATGATTGCGCGAATCTGACAATAATTTCGTTTGCATTTAATTCATCAAACAATTCTTTATCAATGGATAGAAATGTGTATAATTCCAAATTCTCCTCAGACAGAGAATCTATCAACCATATTTTTTATAATCTTTAACTTTGAAAATATTCCTCCACATTGAACTTGAGTTCTTATTACTAAAACGAGTTGTTTGTGTTTGTTTCTTTATTGCATTTCTATTTAATAAAATGGGTTCGTTACTCAATCAGGAGCCCCCTCCCCCATTATCCATTGGTGGGGGTGGGGAGCATGTTTACAACATGGCCAGTACACTGTTATATTCTATATTTTAATCTAAAAGTAAATAATATTTGCTTCAGTTCAGTTTAACTGAACTTTAAATCAGCTGATTTTTCTCAAATAGCGTTTCAGAAAAGTATATTTTATTTTTGAAAGATTTTTTAATAAAGAGAATTACGTTGTGTTGACACCCCCATATCTATCTATCTATCTATCTATCTATCTATCTATCTATCTATCTATCTATATAGTGAATGACAAAATGTAAAATATCCTATGTGATTCGTATTTTGTGTCTAATTTCATCAACAATCTTGAAAGATAATACATTTATACATAAAATAGGGAGTTACTTTTCAATCAACCTATATATATATATATATATATATATATATATATATATAAATGACTATAAGAAAACTATAGTTATTGCTGACGCGTTTCCTCCAACGTGGACGTTCTTAAAGCAAAAAACGAAATGAATTTAATTAAAGAAAGTAACTAATAATAACAAAAAACAGAATGTTCTTAGCAACTAGAAGAATGTAGAGAACGCTATTTTCATATTGCTAACTGAAAATAACGTCAGTTATTGTCACGTGTGGAGAAAATTGTCATTATAGCTGTGTTGAAGGATTCAACGATGTGTGTGTGTATGTGTGTGTATTTAGGCAACAATCCTTCTTTTATGCACGTATCATTGAAAACGACAGACAAGGTGCTTTTATTTAGTTTTTTATGCAATTTCTCATACGATCTAATAATTTTTTTCCGATGATAAATTATATAAAAACTGTCCAATTACTCTTTCGTTCCGAACGCTTTCGGCTATACATTTAGCAATCTTCAAGGTTGAAATATATTATTTACTGTTAACAAGAAATAGATTGTTGTATGTCTTTATTTATATAATACTTTCATTTTCAAAACACGCTCAAGATATTGTGTACATGTACATAGTTGATATTATTGAGTGTTGATTTTTTGTTTATATTATTAAGGCTACTATTATTTTTAGCCTTTTTTATTTACATGTTTTCGTAGATGATGCTATTTATTTATGTTGCTATATATATATATATATATATATATATATATATATATATAGATAGATAGATAGATAGATGTGTTTGTATGAGTGGGTGTGTGTGCATGCATAAATATGTGTGTAAATTGATAGTATGTCGTATATAATTCAAGGGAAGTAACTCTTGCAATTTTTGTCTAAATATTTGCCCTTATGTATTCAACTAATTTTTCCAAATTGCGAAGGAAAAATCTTAATAAACTGACATGTTTTAGCTTTCTTTTTCAAAAATTGTTTTGATACATATTTGCAAATAAAGAGCGAACAAAATAGAAAAAAAATAAAGAAAATAAAATTTATTCCTGAAATTCGTTCTCATAATTCTGCAAAGAAATTTAGGATGGTTTGAAGAAATTGTGACGTAAAAAAAAATAGGATATATTTGCAAGTTGACACTGATTTAAGATGTTAGGAGCCGATAATATTTTTTTAATTTTAGAAGTCGATAAGAGTTTATATTGATTTTTATATTTTAGGAGCCGATAGTGATTTCTAAATTTTAGGAGGCGACAGTAAATTTTTAAAATCACATTTTCAACTTCGATGAAACTGTACTGCCAAACGTAAATTAATTTTGCTTGTAATTTACTTGGATGAAAATTATTTTATGTATGTAGTAAAAACAGAAGCAGTGAATAAACTTATACCAAAACTTTATTGCACTTTACTCTTACTACTCTTCTACTGACGGATGCAGGGTGTTTTTTTTTTTTTTTTTATACAGCCTAGATCTTAAGGGGAGGTAACTGATGATTGATCAGTACAATGGATTTGTATTGAAGCGCAAATCTCTGAGAAAATTTTATATTGATTGATTTATATTGGATTATTATAACTTTTTAATATCTACCTTTTTGCATTTTATTAATCTCTGCTATTTCATTTATTTTTAATTGAAATATCAAGAAAACAATTATACCTATTCGTCAAGAAGCGAAGGCTTGCTACCTAGAAAAGATAGTCACTTTTTCAACCTTATTTCATAGTAATGATGTGGAGAATTAAAAGAAAAATATTCAGACCTTGCCCAAGAATTACATTTCCTCCTTCACCTGAACCACTTTGTGTGTGTGTGTGTGTGTGTGTGGGGGGGGGTAAATTAAAAACCTCCACCAACAACAACAAGAAGCAATAAGCAAATGGAAAACATTCCATGTCAATAATTGTCTATATTTCTGAGATGAGGTATTATGATTACTTGCATTATTTACATTATACGGACAGTTACAGTCATCTTCATTGCCATATTCACAACGTTTCGGCCTCTATATCTCTGAGATGAGGTATTATGATTACTTGCATTATTTACATTATACGGACAGTTACAGTCATCTTCATTGCCATATTCACAACGTTTCGGCCTCTATATCTCTGAGATGAGGTATTATGATTACTTGCATTATTTACATTATACGGACAGTTACAGTCATCTTCATTGCCATATTCACAACGTTTCGGCCTCTATATCTCTGAGATGAGGTATTATGATTACTTGCATTATTTACATTATACGGACAGTTACAGTCATCTTCATTGCCATATTCACAACGTTTCGGCCTCTATATCTCTGAGATGAGGTATTATGATTACTTGCATTATTTACATTATACGGACAGTTACAGTCATCTTCATTGCCATATTCACAACGTTTCGGCCTCTATATCTCTGAGATGAGGTATTATGATTACTTGCATTATTTACATTATACGGACAGTTACAGTCATCTTCATTGCCATATTCACAACGTTTCGGCCTCTATATCTCTGAGATGAGGTATTATGATTACTTGCATTATTTACATTATACGGACAGTTACAGTCATCTTCATTGCCATATTCACAACGTTTCGGCCTCTATATCTCTGAGATGAGGTATTATGATTACTTGCATTATTTACATTATACGGACAGTTACAGTCATCTTCATTGCCATATTCACAACGTTTCGGCCTCTATATCTCTGAGATGAGGTATTATGATTACTTGCATTATTTACATTATACGGACAGTTACAGTCATCTTCATTGCCATATTCACAACGTTTCGGCCTCTATATCTCTGAGATGAGGTACTATGATTACTTGCATTATTTACATTATACGGACAGTTACAGTCATCTTCATTGCCATATTCACAACGTTTCGGCCTCTATATCTCTGAGATGAGGTACTATGATTACTTGCATTATTTACATTATACGGACAGTTACAGTCATCTTCATTGCCATATTCACAACGTTTCGGCCTCTATATCTCTGAGATGAGGTATTATGATTACTTGTATTATTTACATTATTCGAACTGTTATCCTCATCTTCATTGCCATATTCACAACGTTTCGGCCTCTATATCTCTGAGATGAGGTATTATGATTACTTGCATTATTTACATTATTCGAACTGTTATCCTCATCTTCATTGCCATATTCACAACGTTTCGGCCTCTATATCTCTGAGATGAGGTATTATGATTACTTGTATTATTTACATTATTCGGACTGTTATCCTCATCTTCATTGCCATATAGAAATATATCAGAAGCGAAACGATTCTGATCAGATTTGATGTCAAAATTATCGAGAAGAAAAAGATGAGAGAGGGAGAGAGAGAGAGAGAGAGAAAGAGAGAGAGATGTTGATTTGAAGAGACTTGCATTCAATTTGATGTCCTGCAACAACTAAAAAAATCCTCTGATATAGTTCTATTATCATAATTATTTTCTTTTCATACCAGACCGATGAAATGATAGAAAGCCTTGTAAAATCTTCATCATTCTCTAAAATGACATTGACAACCAATTCTTGAGACTATGTTCCAGTCGCTTTAGATTCAGATTCCCGATGGCCGTGACTCTCTAGCAAGGTCATCGTATTTATCTGTTTCATTTTCTCTATCAGATTTACACCAAGTTCAGTTGAAATCATCTTCGCAATAATTTGACGTATCTTCTGCCATTTTGCCTTCAACAACCACGTATGGACGCTCTAGTTATTATTACTAATGTTAATTATTATTTGTAGCTTAGTTTTAGCTCAAGGCTACAATTACGGAGTATCCTGTGAGAAACTAGTCAAATAATTAATACTAATTTCCATTCGATTCGTAAGGTAAGATTAGATAATTTATTATTTCCCTTACATCAAGCCTAGAGTTATTTCCCTTGTTTTGCGAGTAGTCTACCTTGAAAACTGTATCCCTCACTGCAGCTAGTTGTTATTGACTAAGCTCAGTTAATTGTGTACTAAGCCACAAGAAATCTGGTTTGTATCAAACTCACTAGTAATGGTCAACAGTCTACCCCATTAGCCATTAACCCACTTCGCTGAACTACTGCCTAATGTCATTGACATTTTAAAAGCATTATTTCTATTAAACACGGATGTATTTGATATGGAGATTATTATCTTATCGAGAAATTATTACATAGTCAATAAATTCTGCGAAGTTTGGAGACAAGCGTATATTGTGTATTAACAAGATATCGATTCCACTTAAAATAATTTATTTATTGAATCTATTTCGCTTTTTGTCAAATAACGAAAATCCATCCATCTATCTATCTATCTATCTATCTATCTATCTATCTATCTATCTATCTATTCTAGTCTGTCCCTATCTTTCTTTCTTTCTTTCTTTCTTTCTTTCTTTGTTAATATCTATCTATCTATCTATCTATCTATCTATCTATCTATCTATCTATCTATCATTTCACAGCCTAATGATGAGAACTAATCCGATATTTCGAACAGCGTAAACGAAAAATTAAATATAAACATCTTTATAATAAGTACGTGTCAGGCTATAGGCATATGGATCCGTACATACACACCCACACACATACACAAAGAGAGAGAGAAAGAGAGAGAGAGAGAGAGAGGTGGATGTTCTGAAAGTGATGGTCCCTTTTTATTAATTCGGAAACTAACTCAATCCGCCCCCCCCACCACCCATAAATGGACAGAGCAATGTTTCAGCTACAGAACACTATTTTATCACATAGCCATGCTCATGGACTCTTTACCTTATGAATTGACAGCTGAGCAGAGGGCCGCTCAGAATGTGACTTACTATTGTCAGTGTGTGATACATAGATAGATAGATAGATAGATAGATAGATAGATAGATAGATAGATAGATAGATAGATTGACCGACCAACTTCTCAAAATCTGGCCAAATGACTGAAAATATGACGCCTTTTTTCGAACCTTCTCTTGGTTGGGGCAAAAATACTTTGTTTATCGATACAATCCATGTATCTATTTCTTGGCAAGGGTCTTCTTTGTGGATTCAATAAAATTATGAGGTTGTTCGGAAAATATTATTTGATTTTAGAATCAACTTTTATTCCTCAATGAATCGATTAAAACAGTGGAAAGACGAACTCTGAATACATATACATTTCTGATAGCGAGTGATGACTTTATGATAAAACTCTAAAGGTTTGGACACCAAAGAAAAAAAAATTTGAATGCAATTTGTGTCGTCTTGCAACGGAATGTTTTTTGCCTTAAAATTTTGTCAAAATGCTTGAAAAAATGGACACACTTTTAACTCTTTGATTTTCACTGTGTTCATGTGGAGCCTACTTACCGAATTTTTTCACCTTGCCAATTTTCTTGAGATGTTCGGATATTGAAGTAATGTTGACTCTCATTATCTGAAATATTTGACGTATTTTTTTCGACTAGTGCTTTCAGATTGTCAATTGCAGATGGACATCCTCTACCATTTTGAGCTTCAAGACTCGTATCTCCAACTACAGAACATCAGAAAGCAACGACGATTCAGAGTGGATCCTTCACCCTAGGCTCCGTTAATGTTGGCAACAGTTTGAGAATCAGAGCCAATCTTGGACTCATGAAAAAAAGAGTAAACGCATCTTTTCTTTTTTTCATGTTCAATATGAAAGGCTATATAATGTTGTAAGTTAAACTTTGAAAGAGATTGATATAAAATTAATAAAGATGACACTTTAATCATTAGGAATGAATAATATATTTTTGTGCAGCTATTGTAATAATATATTAGAACACAACCGGTTTATTCCAAATCGGACATTATTTTCCGAACTATCTAACATAATGCGTCCTGGTTAAGACGATAAACTACACCCGATAGCAAGGTCTTGATCAGAAGGTTTTGAGGCGCGTGGAACCACCTCTTAATTGCTGGTGTTCCCAGGTCCACCCTGACCCGGGATGGTAGCATCTTTCATGGTCCCAGCTGTGGGCAAATAGTTAATAAAAAAAAGGGTCAAAACACTATGAAAGTATAAAAATAGGTTTTAATATCAGCAATACTTTTTTGGAAAATTTTTTACCAGCAATATATTTTTGAAAAAAATGATTACCTGCAATACATTGTTGGAAAAAAATATTACTAGCAATACATTTTTGACAAAAATTACCAGCAATACATTTAAAAAAACAAACAAAAGCAAACAAACTATTACCAGCAATACATTTTAAAAAAAAAATATTGTCAGCAATAAATTTTTGAAAGAAAATATTACCAACACATTTTTGAAAAAAAATATTATCAGCAATAAAAATCTTGAATTAAATAACCAATTGAGTTTGATATGCCGTAAAAGAAACTCAACTAAAGCAAACCTAATATAATGCAAAGACGGTGATGAAAAAACAGTTTTTAATAAAAGCGAAATTTCAACAGTGAATCATCATTTTGAAGTGATTGAATCGGCACGTCTTGATTTTCTTTAAAAAAGATTCCTGAAAACAATTTAAATAGAAATTTCCTGTAAAGAATCCAACATGGAAACTTTCTCAGAAGAATAAGAAGATAACACTTGAACTTTTAGTTTTTTTTCTGTAGGTTTATATTATGGGTTTTTATTATAATGAAAATATTTATAAATTATTGTAAAACTATATAGTCATGTGTTCATATATAAGGGGGTGCTGAAAAGTATTGAGATGTCAGTGAAATACTGAATTTTTGGTAAATGGATTGGCTTTAGAAATTTTCAAACTACTTACACACAGACACACACAGACACACACAGACACACACACACAGACACACACACACACACATATTTTCAAGCATTTTTGGTTAAACAATTTAAACGTATTATATCTATTTATTTTAGTTTTAATCAAGTCCACGAATTAATTTCTTGGTAGCTGTAGAAAATTGATTAAGGAAAACTCCAAAATTTTCTTTCAAATAATTTTTATTTTCCCAAGTACTTTTAATCTCATCTGAAACCATCTTCAGGGGGTTGCATATTTATGGATTTGTTATGCGTTAACACCGTAAATTCTAAACTTTTTTCTTTACCTCTATGCAAAGGATATAACGTATGTGGCTTCTTTTAAAAGATTTTTTAAAAAATTTAAAGATTTTTTAATTGTAGTATTTTTTATTTCGTATTTTCTTTATAAAACTTTCCTGCTACAAACATTTCAGAACTTTGTTGCTATAATCGTAGCTGACTCTACTTATTATTGACCGCATTTCTCTTATATAAAGGACTTCCAGAATTTTAAGTTTTTGCTTATTATTATTATCTTTATGGAGCACTGATGCATTTTCGACTAATATCTGTTTAAACTGTACATGTGAACATGAGTATTCCTTTAAATATTCTGAGATTGAATTATAATAACTCAAGTGAAACATAAGTCTTCTCGTCATCGTCTTTGTTGTAAAACCAATGAATTTTAATCACTGAAGAAATGTTTTACTCGTTCATAGGTTGGAAATGGAGGTGTAATCTGGATTTTTTTTTCTTCCGTTATCAAGGGGTCACTACTGTGATGAAAGTATGAATGTTTATTATATGTCAATTTTTTGGGAGTCATGTAAAGTTGGGTTGAGGAATTTTTTTCTGGCTAAAATGGACTTTTCCCCCAGGATCTGTTGTTTTAATTACTATTTGTTGAAACTTACTGACTGATGTTCTAGTTACAGTCTTTTTTGGTGTTAATTTATTTGTTTTTTTTTTCGTTGATGGTTTCTTAAAGGGGTGATTGGTTTTTATTTATAATTCTATAGTTTTATACCTGTCTGAAATTAATTTAATTTGCTAATAGATCCTATATGGTATTGTGTAATTATTTATATATGGTATTGTGGAATTTATATATATTTTTAGAATTTAATTTCTATTGTACATTATTTTCTATCCATTTACAAATTACTTATTTTTAAGGTGTATATTTGGTAGTGTCTGCAAAAACGATTATTTCATTTCTTTGATTCAATAAATTTTTGTTTTTTTAGAATTCCCATATATTCTTCATATATATATATATATATATATATATATATATATATATAGAGAGAGAGAGAGAGATAGAGAGAGAGGGAGAGAGAGGGGAGAGAGAGTGAGAAAGAGAGATACGCACACACGAATAAATGGATCGAGATATAATTACATTCATAATTCAAAGAAAGTAAACCAATATAACCACAAAAGAAAAAAAACAGGAGAGAGAGAGAGAGAGAGAGAGAAGGGTGAAGAGAAAGACGAGATGAAAGACATGAGGAAAAGTAGAAAAATCGATTGAAAGAAAAAGGATTGAAAGAATAAAAAGGGAAAGAGTAGAAAAGGAGAGGAGAGAACGAAAAGAAAAATGGAATGAGGTGGAAGGAGAAGAGAGAGAGAGAGAGTAAGTCATGAACGAAAAGAATAAAGAGAAAGAGGTGGAAAGGAGAGGAGAGAGGGCAAGATATGATTGTAAAGAAAAAGGGAAAAGGAGAGAAAGAATGTTTGGCTAATGTGTGGCACCATTTACGAGGCAGAGAAAGGAAGAAAAAGAAAAGAAGGCAGAAAGAAAGGCGAGACGAATCGTAGGTGATAAGCATCCACACACACGGCTAAGAGACAATGAAAATATTGATAAGTAACAAATGAAAAAGGGTGTCATTACAATGACAGGGAATTTCTGATTAAAAAAAGAGAGGGAAAGAAAGAAGGAATCAGATGTGTTTTGATAACGGCTGTGTTATCTAGGTGCGTAAACGAACGGCTGGACCATTGGCCAGGGAAAAATTCAAGTGAAAATGCTATTTCGATAAGTGACGAGAAACAGGCCACTAAAAAGGACTTTGGACAGATATGAAAATTAAATACCCACACAAGCAGTGCCGCTGACCGAATTTTTTTCGACGAAACAACTTTGGCCTGCGATAATAAAATTATGTTATCAGGAATATGTACCGAAGGAAAATGAATGGGGACCCAGAAGTGTTTTTCTTTCTTCCTTGGAGGCGACAGACTGACTGAAAACTTTGGGGATATTTCTTTTTTTGAAGCCATGTTAAGAAGACCACCCATCTTGATAAATTAGCGATAAAATACCTGACAAACACCACGTGTAAAACAAGAGTTGTCATATTGTCCGTTGCGACTAGAAGGGTGATAACGGCGATTGAAAGGAAGAAAAGGGAAAGAGAAGAGATAATTTTTTTTTTTTAGTTAAGCAAGATATTTTTTTTTGTTTTTTTCCGAAACAAAGCCACGGACTGTTCACGCCCGACTAAGACATCATTGGTCAGGTGGTGATCACGTGACGCACGAAGGAGGAGGAAAGATACCCGACCAAGACCTCATTGGCCGAGAGTGATCACGTGACGCACGAAGAAGGCTGTCGACGCCCCATCCAGAGTATAAGTATGAGAAGCTGCTACGAAAAAGTGGGGAGGGCAGTTCACGCCCCTCAGAGGTATGGTGAGAAAGTGGGAGTGAGGAAAGGTTCCCAAAAATGGAAAAGAGTGGAAAATCCTTAACCAGAAATAAAAGAGGTGGATATATATTTAGAATTATCGAGGACCCCCCCCCCTACGCCAACAGTCCCACCCCGGTTTTGGTCGGCGTCAATAAAAGCGAGGCCCCAACAGGCAGAAATCAGTTCGGGCTCCAGCGGAAAGTTGAGTTCAGTTCAGTTCGGGCTCCAGCGGAGAGTTGAGTTTCTAGAGTTGAAGCCGCCTCGAGACAGCTGACCAAGATTCACGCAAAGTTAGGACTCCTCTTCAACCCAAAAACAATTATTTTGAAGAGCGACTTAGAACCAGACCACCGAAATAAGTCTTTTCGACTTTCGTCCAAAGACACACCGAAACACCAATTTCTTAGAGACCAAACAACTTGAAGCGTTAAAACTTGCCTAGCGGAAACGACGTGTCACAATCCACAGAACGGGTAGGGAGATAGATGCAGTCCTATGTATCGAACAACTAGACATAAAGTTTGTTACCTTTTTCTTTGATACTTTGAACTTTTTGAGTTTTCATTTTCTTTTCTTTTATGCATATTTGTGTAGTATCACCCCCGTTGAACTCAGTTTGCATTACGGCCCCAACCACTGTTTGATCTCGTCTGCCTAAGATCAATTCACAACGTGGGTAGGCGGACTGGAGATCAATGCAGTTACCTTTGGTAACCAGGCGTTGGAAGCGAGTTGGGAACGACGAGGCTGATATCAAATCTAACCAGATTCCCACCCGAATCACCAAAAGGTTAGAACGTCACATTTGGGTGCCGCGATCGATACCAAGCCAATTGGTCGTCACAGGACGAGACAACACGACTGACGCGACAGGCGGACGTCACGTTTGGAGCAGCGACACCCGAACGGAGCAGCGAGGAGCGAACAGCTGGCGCTGCGGCAGGACGTCACAATTGGTGCTGTTTGGGGACGTCACAACTGGTGCCGTGGTAGATCAGGATAGAACGTCACAGTCGGCGCTGCGACCGGGGGACGACGCCACAAGTGGATTGATTGTTTTTTTTACGGCTTAGCAACTCCTTGTTATTTTTAGATTGTAAAAATTTTAATTTTGGAGATAATAATTGTTTAGTGATAGAAATCTCATTAATTAACCCTTAGTTGAGGGAGAAGAGGTGGATTCATAACTTTCTCAAGCGTATTTGCACATACGTGAATATAACGAAGTCAACGAGAATTGAAACTCGGCTCTCCGATTCACAATTCCGTGTCATTACAGCACCAGGTATTCGTAAGCGGTCACCCATCTTGGTACTGAACAGGTTGGATTTTGTTCAACTTCGGTGATCGTAAAGGAAACGTTGAGAAATAGTATGTGAGAAAAGTAGAAAGTGTCACTTAATGTTTCGATTCCCACAGAGAATCACGTGATTCTAACCATCCGGTTGCCTGTTTGAATTGAGAACCTAAATCGAAACGAAAGATGAAATACTCGTAAGACACTTTCAAGTGTCACTGCTGCAACAGAAAAAACAAATAATCAAATACAAAATGTCCAGTCGTATTTTATTATCCTTTTCATTTCTTTCCTGGAGGATCTGGCAAAATGGATATCATATTTCCAATTGGGAAGTGATTGCTTGTTAAAAGATTTTAGACGAAAAATGCCGTCTCATGCAAAAGCAGGTAACAAGGAAATGTAACTACCGCCATTTTAAATTGATCATTAATTGACTTGACTTATCAATATTTTTCTCGAAAGGGTTACCGGTATTAGAATGTGTAAGAGTCTGTCTATATTTCTGAGATGAGGTATTATGTACAGTATTTACATTAGTCGGACTATTGTCAATGTAAGGCTTCAAGAACACCAGAAAGCTGTAACGCGAGGGGAAGTAGAAAAATCAGGCGTGGCTGACCACATATGGAGAGAGAAGGGAGATCACCGCCCCCTGTGGGATCAGGTTGAGATCACCGACAGGGAACACCATTGGAAAATTCGTAAACTTAAGGAATCAGCACATATACTAGGTCACAAAAATCTCCTGAGCCGACCAAGCATAGAAATAAATACAATATGGGAACCAGTAATAAGGAGTGCCAGAGAAAAGCAATGATAACAAAGTTGCAATATGAACTCTGGTAAAGACATGCAATGATAACAGCAAAATTGCAATATGAGCACTGGTAAAAATGATGCTGAAAACATTAGGTTTATAATACTCAGAAGCTCATACCCAGATGTCCTCAAGGACACGTGGCACAGGCGTTGGTTAGATCCAGTGACAGACCCAAAGAAGGTGAGTTCAATACCTGGTTAAAGCAGTGGAAAACTTTCAGAGGGAAAATTGGCAGGAGATAACTGATAACTGACATCCATCAAACATGGCACGTGGAACTAGAACAATCTACCCCAGTGATCGAAATAAAGGGTTCAGTTTGAAATTCCAACCACCTGAAGAAGGCCGGAGGTACAACGGCCGAAACGTTGTGACAAATATGGCGACAAAGATGAGGACAATAGTCCGACTAATGTAAATATTGTAGAATGTGTAAGCCCACTCAAAATGATAGACCGATTTCGATTGGATAGAATGTACACACCCTTTATTCTGACTTGGAAACGTGAACTGGAAGAAATAAAAAAAAGTAAGAAGGAAAAAAATGCAATTATTCATTTTTTGAATTATCATTATTTACGTTATTTAAAATCAGACGATTGTCCTAATCATTATTTTTTTGTTTTGTTTTACGGCATATCAACCTGAATGGGTTATTTAATGCCGACAAGATTTTTTTTTTTTTATTGCTGGTAATATTTCATTTTCAAAAAGTATTTCTGGTAATATTTTTTCGAAAAATGTATTGCTGGCAATATTTTTCCCCAAATAGTATTGCTGGTAATAATGTATTGCTGGTAATATTTTTTTTTATTCCAAAAATTTATTGCTGGTAATAATTTTTTGCAGAAATGTATTGCTAGTATAAAAACCTATTTTTACACTTTCATAGTGTTTTGAACACAATTTGGGGGTTAACTATTTGCTCATAGTTGGGACCCTGACAGGCGCTACCACTCAGGGTCAGTGAGGACCTGGGAACATCAGCAATTAAGATGTGGTTCCACGCTTCTCGAAACCTCCTGATCAGAGGCCTTCCTGCCGGGTGTAGTTTATCGTCAAACCCATGACGAGATCTTAATTTATCATTACGTAAATGATACTGAACTAAAGCGGAAATTCGTGAATTTGCTGGATTTGTTGGGCCGCGTAGTGCAGTCTTAGACTCAGTGAACACACACACACACACACAAACACACACACACAGATAGATAGATAGATAGAGAGAGAGATGGGGGAGAGAGGCGAGGGAAGAAGAAGCGACAGCGAAATAGAGGAATATTAAGAGAGCCATAGAGAAATAAATTAATATTAAATGGAAAGAGATAGGAAAGATTAAAATTCTCTCTGAATGAGTGAAAGAAAGAGAGAGATAGAATGAAAGAGAGAAAGAGAGAGAACGAAAGGAGAGAGCGAGAAAGAGAGAGAGAAAAACGGAGAGAAAGAAAGAAAGAATGAGAGAGAGAGAGAGAGAGAGAGAGAGAGAAAATGGATTAAATTTTGACTAAAAGACGAAGATAAAGAAAGAGAGAAAAAATTATGCAAATCATTTTCTTCGCCAAACAAAGCCGCCATTTTGTCACTGGCATACTTTACAGATGATTATTGCTGCATTTTAATTAAAAAAAAAATTCTGTTCATGTAAGGATTGCTTTTTTTTTTCATCCACAACGGAAAGTCACTTCCTGCAAAGAATCATTTCCGTGTTATGAAGGCACAGTCATACAAATGAAACTCTACGATCGAATTGTTATTTTAGCTGAAATATCTTCATATCAGATTCGGTTACATCAGTTTTTTTCACCAATAAATTTGCAGATGGAAACATCATTCTGAAAACAAACAAATAACAAATTTCAATCAGCGCAAGAAAAACGAAGGAACAAACAAATTTTTAAATTAAATTGTATCAATTCTGTCGATTTGAAGCAGTTGAGGTGTATCGCCAATTTGAAATTGAGCGAAAAACATTTGCATTTATTTATTCTACACACTCTTTAATTTTTAAAAGAATATTTGAAGTCAAATTATAATTGGATGGCAGACATTGTTACACAGACGTACATCGAGATAAAGAAGCTTGAGATGTAAAATGATGTTTCTGGTCATTCAGTGAAAGAAACGTCGATTGGTCAGGCGACGTTAAGATAAAATGCTAGACAAACGGGAAGAGAGGAGGAGGAAAAGGAGGAGACAAATGGGAAGAGAGGAGGAGGAGGAAAAACAGGAAGAGAGGAGGAGGAAGAAGAGGAGGAAGACTATGCCAGACATATGTTGCGTAACCCGATGAAGATAACACTTTATTAAAATGTCACCATTGAAGGAGGAGAATAGAGCCCGGGTATGATGCATCTCTCATTGCCTTGTGTTAGTAACAATTAAAGTGGCCAACTAGAATAAGGCACAGATTACTTTAATGAAACAATTATTAGGAAAGAAAGTCCAATTGTATTTTTGATTGGGTCATTTTAAGGTGCTTTTTTTTTTTCTTTGTAGAATCTTTCACATTAATGGGGTTAAATTTTGTAACGATTTTACTCTTTTAAAATGAGTTTATGTGAAGCCCATATCACCAATGTATGCATTCAAAAAGGGCTTTTCAATAATGGAATGAGTAAGAAATATTTTTTCTGTTGATGCCATTCCAAAAATGGCTTGGCCTGTTTCAAATGGGAAATGGTTCTCTCGAAGATACACTTCGATTTGTACAATTAACTTCTGTGAATTACTCAGTTGAGGAAAATCTTAATCCAGCTGCATGAGAATTCAAAAAAGTAAGGCGATAAAGCTACTAAGATCCAAGGAGATATTAAATGATAAGAATAGAGAGGACAATAAAAGAACGAATTTCAAGTAGACAGAATATGACGATTGACAATGCGTTTAAATTTTTGAAGATCGTATTTGATAGGGAAGTTGGAAGAGAGTTCCACAAGGGAGATATGGAGGAGGAAAATATTAGCATAGAACTTATGGTCATAACTAATAACAGTGAAATTTTGAGACCTAGCCGCCAATCCAGTATTGTGCTTAATTTAGTGAAGTGGAGGTACGAAAAGAAAAGCTCATTAGAACAATTATAGTGAAAATATATAAAATGCACAGGGAAGCTATGTTACGGCAAATGACAAAGTGACAGAAGCCGAACTGACAGGTCAAGAGCGATAATATTGCAGATTCTTTTTGGATGTCAAGAATCTTCTTCTTTGGGCGCTGTCAAGAATATAGCAGAAACACCAGACCAGATTTGACAATAGTATTCAATGCCAGATGAATGGTAGACATACAAATGTGCAAGATAGTTTATGACGGGAAAAATGTCAAGTTTGGAATAGTGAACTGACTTTTCTTATCTAAGACTCAGCAATTGATAGAACATAATTGAAAAAAAAGGGTTAAACCAAGAAGTGGAAAACGTTAAATCAAGATGGTTTCTCACATGGATGGTTAGCATCGGCCATGCTGATGGAAGGAGTTCCTTAAGATGATTAATAGAAAGTAGTTTCGTTTTGGAGGTGCTAAAACTTACAATCCACTTCTTGCCCCAGTTAACAGCAGATTGAAGACCCTTTTCGAGGTCAGCTGCCAAATTGATTTTGTCGGACCTGTCAGACTTTCTATCAAGACAAGAGTAAACAGTTGTAGACTTAGCATAGATATAACATCCGGAAGGTTGTTGATTAAAATTATGAACATCATACGTCTATGAATAGAGCGCTGGCAGAACCCCACATTAATGTGAAAAGATGTAGAGGAATGGCCGTTCAAGATAACTTTCATGACACTGTTTGATAAGAAAGACTGAATCAAATCAAAGAAATGGCCAGAAATACCATAGCCCTTCAATTTATGAAGAAGACAAATATACCAAATCCTTCGAGATATCCCAAACAATAGCCCGAACTTCGCCATTTTTATCTAAATTTTGACAGACTTTTTCAGCAATAACCGTCAGCACATCGGCAGATGAGAAGCGAAAGCGAAATTGTTTAATTGGAAGAAAACTATGTGAGGTGAGATACTTAACCTTTTCAGAGTTGTTTAAAGCCTCGAGTACTTTTCCAAAAAGAGGCAAAAGTCTAACAGGTCGATAGTTCTAACGATCAAACGGTTCACCCGAATTCTTAGAAACAAGAACTACAGAAGAGTATTTCCAACAATCTGGAAAGCGAGAGACAATGAGGTATCTGTTGTAGAGAACAATGAGGTATCTGTTGTAGAGAACAATGAGGTATCTGTTGTAGAGAACAACGAGGTATCTGTTGTAGAGAACAGGGGCAGTTCATGGGCAGATTTAAGGACAATTGCGCGGACGAGGTATCTGTTGTAGAGAACAATGAGGTATCTGTTGTAGAGAACAATGAGGTATCTGTTGTAGAGAACAACGAGGTATCTGTTGTAGAGAACAGGGGCAGTTCATGGGCAGATTTAAGGGCAATTGCGCGGACATAATCGTGTGAATAGTTTTAGCAAAAACAGTTTAAAACTTTGATCATAAAAAACCTTCATGAATTTTGAAAAATGACTGAAGTTGGTAAAATGGCGGCCCCCTCATCCTTTGTCAACTCCACCGTTTAATCAAACTGTTTCCTCTGCTCGACATTGAAATATAGACTCGCTATCGAACAGTTTCTTAGTAGAAACACCACCAGGGATGAAAATTGGTTTATGTATAATCATAGCCAATGAAAACGACAATGGTTAGCATCTAGTGAAACAGAAGAATCCATCCCAAACGGGGAAATGGAGAAAAAGTTTTACTTAGTGTTTAGTGTGATTTGAAGGATATAGTTTGTCACACATTGAAAAACTATATTGTTGCCAATTTATGAGGCATTAGATAAAAATTTGCCACCCCCCACCAAAAAAAAAACAAACAAAAAACCCCTCACCCCCAAAAACAACAACAAAAAATATAAATAAATAACAACAACAAAAAAATCAAACAAACAAAAAACGCAAACTTCCTGTCATTAGTTAAACATAAAGGCGTGTTAACCTTATACGATAATACAACATCACATACTGCTTGAGTCATCCAAGAAAATATTATGCTTTAGTATATGAAATTTTGTCACACCCCTTACTCTCCTGATATTTTGCGCCATCTGACAATCATCGTTTCAGATCATTGCAACAATTTGAAAGGGAAAACTTTTATTAATGGCGAAGAGGATAAAACTGATGTTGAGAATTTTTCTGCAGCGAAATCTGAAGAATTCTGCGCAATAGAGATCAACTGTTAGTCGAAATGATGGGATTATATCATCGATAAAGATGAGAAATATTATTTACATTCAACATGACAATTAAAACTAAAGAAATATTTGTTTTTTATCATCTTCAAATACGACATGTCTTTATTTCTAACCTGATAGAAGGATCTGCTGAAAAGTTTTCAAATCATTTCCAAAATCAAATGACCAATATCAGATTTCCTTCTCGAACCGTTTCTTGGTCGCTCCATTGACTTTTTATCACCCCCTTAGAAGTAAACCTTACGATCACAACATACAATTCAATCCGGAATGGGATCATTACGAATATTAAATTGTGTAGAAGGGAGAAATAAGATAATTAGTTTGCATATAAAGGGCGTTCCAACAACTTGAACCGATTTTAAATGTGAATTAAGTTTAAACGTCTAATGAATTTTTCCTTTATTTTGAGATTTGGTGGAAATTTGGGCGATATTATTTTTCACACATAATTGCCATAACTTAAATAACATAATCCAATAGAGAAATAAATAAATTGTCACTAATAACAGTGATTTATTTAATGCTGACTTTGATCCGTCTTAATGAAACACCATTTATTTCGAACTCAAGACCTTTGCTTTTAACATTAGGTCATTATGATACAACGAAGCTAGTAAAACGCGATTCATGTAGACATTAATTTTAATAAAGGTTTGTTGGTTTTTCTAATTTATATCTTCTCCATGAGTGTTTTCCTTGGCAGATATATACGTATGTATATATGCGAATTCCCTTCGCTAACTAAATTTTAAAAATGCATTAAGCCACTAACCACTCGATGAATGTTATGATCCTTGTTTTTTAAAATTATAAACTGTATTAGGTCTTCTTTAAATATGCAAGTACTTTCGATAGGTTCTCAGGTTATCATCAGGCATGAAAACTATTTTGTTTTTGGTGAAATTCAGGTAGCATCCGAGACGACAAAATATAATTCAAATCAAAATATATATATATTTTTTTTTTAAATGTGTTATTGATAACGGATAGAAACTTGTGCAGCGTTCAGTCGCAACGCTAAAGTTGAATTTTTGAAAATTTAAGTGAATGCTATTTTAACAAATATGGCAATTTAAGAATTTTTTTGTAGGAGTTAACGTAGAATGAACTAAATAGTTCAATAACTAGAGCAATGTCTCAGTTGTTATCACGAAAGTTTGTACATCGGATCAGTTCTTTTAAATCAAATATATGATGCAGTTTAATTGACATTACAATGAATTCTTCACACAAAAAGTAGATTATAAATATCTATGTATATATGGAAGTAAGTTCTGTAGCACGTACTTTCTTAAAGGTAAAATAATTAAATTAATAATTAAAGGTAAAATAATTTTAATTAGTGGTGAACTCCGATTTAAAGCGAAAGGCCCCCACTGCTTCCAAAGATCTCACTGTTTTTATTAACAATATCTTCTTAGATAGCTTGCAAATTTCTTAATCCACATATAGAGCACATCCCAATTACTTAATCCACATATGATACATGTCCCAATCTTTTGATCCAAATATAGTGCAGGCCCCAATTTCTTACTCCTCATATGGCACCCACTAATTCCTTCATACTGATATGGCACCCCCACCAATTTCTTAATCAGCATATGGCACCCCCTAATTTCATAATACTTATATGGTACCCCCACAACATTTCTTAATCAGCATATGGTGCATATCCGAATTTCTTTTTATGCATTTATCTTCGTATTGTTCTGAAAATATGGAATATTTAGGCTCTGGCATCGAAGATGATGTCTTGGTAATGAAAATTTTTTGCGGCTCATGTTTTGCAGGCTTCGGCATTTTCAAATATCGATGTAGAATTCATATCTACTCCAAATATAGTCACAAAGTTCCGAAACTGATTAGATTTGAACGTAACAAACAGAGAACAAAGTTGCAAAGCAGAATTTAAAGATAAAATAGTAGAAATTATTGTAAAAATACAGTAACTCAGAAATAAAGAAATTGAAAGAAGAAAAGAAAGAAAAAAAAACAATCGAGAAAAACGAAGAAACAAATGGAAGGAAGAAAAGAAAGAAAAAAACAATCGAGAAAAGCGAAGAAAGAAAGAAAGAACGAATGAATGAAAGAAAGAGAGAAAGAAAGAATAAACTAAAAAAAAAGGCAAAAAGAAATGCTAGAGAAAGACAAAATATAAAATGCTAAAGAAAATTTAAAAGTGAAAGAAAGAATAGAGAAAAAAAAAGCATCAAAAGAAATTGAAAGAAGGACAAATTGACGAAAATAGGAAAGAAAGAAAACGAAAAACATGGAAGAATGAAGACAGAAAAAAGGATAAAGAATAAAAAAATGAATCCCAAAATAAAATAGAAACGAAAATCGACAGAAAAAGGTTAGGAAGAAAGAAATCAAAAAAAAAAAAAAAAAAAAAAAAAAGAACTCAAAGAAAAGAAGAAGAAGAAATTGCCGTTACAGAACAACCAAAATGGAATCTGTTTACTTCGTTGTCTGAAGTTTGTAGCGATTTGTAAATGATTCCAAATGGCTACAAATTGAATCAGAGAATCCTTGATTGTAAAGATAGGAAGGCAAAATTACTAAAAATAATAACAAAAGCGAAAACAGACGAGGTGTGGGGAGGAAATTTATTGAATTTGTTGAAAGATAAAATCTTGTTGCGAAAAATTCAAGCAAATCATCCATTTTTGTTTTCTGTCTTTTTTTTCTCTAAAATTGGAATCGGTTTGTGTGTCGAGAATTTCCAAGATAAAACACAAGACCAAAATTTTCTTGAAAAAATTCGCTAAGCTTAGAATTTCGAGTTCCACTTTATAACTTTTTGGATTTTTCTTACGATTCTTAATTTTCATTTTTTGAAGCCTGAGAAATGAAATCAAATTTGAAAAGTTTACAATTTTGTATACATCTGACAATTTTGTCTATATATATATACAAACACAATGAGGCGAGTAAAGTAATGACTATCTATGCACCTGTTTAACTACAAGCTTTATTTTCATATATTTGAAAGTATATATATATATATATATATATATATATATATATATATATATATATATATATATATATATATATACACTAGTAGTATAACCGTCTTCGACCGGGTGTCTCATTACTGAGAATTTTTGCCGTTCAATTGTAGCAGTTTCAGTTTAAAATCAACCCACCTGAAAATCAATATTAGTAACAACAATTTGGTGCAACTGAGGCACATCTCTAAAATTTGAACAATTTGAAGGGGGGGCTGAAAAGGGCCGTTTTTGCATTCTCAATCTTGCATGGAAGGAACCTCTTCCATGGACCGCCATAATAATAATAATATACGATAATTTTTATTTATAATATAATTTTTTTTTATAATTCTAAAAATCTTTTGCGTTAGATTTCAACTTTCTAAATTGTTTGTACGCTGTTTTTTTAAACACATTAGATATTGCCTTTGAGTTTTGCGCAAAGTGTAAAAAAATCAGTTTTTCGATTTTACACCTTCAAGGTTAAATTCTTTTCCAGTCACTTTGGACTCAAAAACGACACTGAAGAATTATCTATCAAACAAAAAAGAATTCATCGAAATCGAATGACAACTGTGGAAACGTATAGACAACATCCGCTCACACACACACACACACACACACACACACACACACACACACACACACACACACACACACACACATTTTGAGAATAATATATATATTAATATATATATATAAATATATGTGTGTGTGTGTGTGTGTGTGTATGTATGTACACAGGGTGCGATGGATAAATTGTTGTCTGAATGACGCAAAAATGAAAATAACACTGACATTTCATTTTAAGATATATTTACCAAAATTGCACAAATACTAAGGAGTAAATTTATTCAAAAAAATCGCTATTGGCTTCAACCATGGTCTCCAGAGGACTTCAGAATCTCCTGCAACTCTTCTAGACGGCCTCCTTGTTTAAGTTGGTGCATTCTGCCATAATCCTTGCCTCAACTTTATCTTTGGGGTTACAAGCAGTTTTGTTGGTCTCTCGCTAAACTGCGTCCCACACATAATAATCAAGGGGTCTAGGGAGTTAGGTGGCCAGATGTAAAGGGTGATGTGGTTTGACAGCCATGATTGGGTTCCCCTGATAGTGTGGCATGGTGCAGTATCCTGTTGCCAGACATAGGATCTTCCAGAAGCCATCCTCTTGACCCAGGCACTTGATGTAGGCCTCCTTGTTGAGTTTGAAGCCTTCACCAACAAATTTGAGAGTTCTTTTCTTATCAGAATGATCAGAGTGGGTTTTCAGAGTCACCGTAACTTCGTAATCACCATTAAATTCAACCAACTCTTTACATGTCCTCTGTACTGTCCCCAGATTGACACCCAAACACACTGAAATGTTCGTATTGGAATTTGCCGTTTCCAGTTTTCTGGCTAAGTGAATTGTATCATGGTGCTCTTTTACTCACAGAAGGTGCCCAACTGACCCTACTATACTGTGCAGTCGACAAAAAAAAAAAAAAAAAACCAAAAAAAACGAACAACGCACATGTGCGAAATTAAAAATATAAAATGGCGACAATTTACCCATCGCACTCTGTATACTTAATTCGTTTATATACACTGATGCTATATAACAAAGTAACATCCTGACAGACGATTTCAACTTTGCCCTGGATACAGTATGTGCATTCTAGAGGTGTGGAGATATTCGATATCTGATAAATTTTTAAAGTCTTCAACCAACTTGTAACATATTAGCGTACTCATATCAAGGCTATAAAACCCGGTCTGTCCTTCTATTTACCCATAGCTGGGGGGAAAAGAAGAGGATTTATACCTTTTCTAAGGATATTAGCACGTAAGTATTGATGTGGAAATAAAATACTAATATTAAATCTTTTATTCATTATCAATTAAGTATATAACTGCTTTTACTAATGTTAATAACATAAAATTTGGCATACAACTATATATGTATATTTATATGTATATATATGTATATATATGTATATGTATACAGGGTGCCCAGTAAATAAAGCGGGTAATTCAGAAAGAAATTTATTTAGCTATCATGATTCATGCACAAATTGAACAATCATCGTAGAAGTTCGAAATATTTACCTGAATGTTCAAGACAAAGTTGTAAGCGTCGTAACCCAGATGCAGTAGCTTTATTCAAGGTCATACATATTCAAGAAGGTTATTCAAGGTCGATTATTCCTGAGAGATAACACAGAGGTAATAATAAATTAGGTGGATATATATATATATATATATATATATATATATATATATATATATATATATATATATA